CTGTTGTCATAAAGTGTCATAATTTACCGAATGACGCTTTATAACAGGGGTCCCCAAACTACGGCCCCTGGGCCGGATCCGGCCCGCCATGTCATTTGGTCCGGCCCCCTGAACAATGCCGGATCTGGCCCGTCTCCTCATACCAGAGAGCATTCAGTGGGTTTTTTTTTCATATATTGTATTTTCTGGTTTACATGTGGATTTTTCTTCAACCACCAGGGGGGCTCTTGAGCAGATGTGAAACTAACTTTCCCTCAATGGAATATATACTAGTCAGTCCCAGTCACCGTTTCACTCACGGTTTTTTCCATTTGCATTCTGGGTAAAAATCTATCTAAAAGCACGAATGTGTTGTCGCGCCCCCATCCCCCCCCTCCCCCCGTCGACAAGAATTTTCTAAGGTTTCTTTCTCCAAAAACTAAGACCGGCCCCCGACCAGAGAAAGGAACAGCTATGTGGCCCTCACAGGAAAAAGTTTGGGGACCCCTGTCCTTAGGCCTCTAATGAGCCATCATTTGATGCAGGTGTGTAAAACCAGGGAGAGAACTAAAACATGCAGGATGCCGGCCCTCCAGGACCGACTTTGGACACCCCTGGATTAAAGTAACTGTTTAACAGCCTGGTTTTGTTTCCCCAAACCGAGGTAGCAGCTCAGGCTTTTGTGCAATTACTGGTGCGGAAGCTGTTCTGAGACCAAGATAATAATACACTTTGAGTGCTTGATTTGTGCAATTGTGAATTTTGAGACTGTTTTAGTTCCATATAATGCTACTTTGAGCTGCAGGATTACTGCAGCTCAAAGCTGACTTTGAGTAGCTCAGGATAATTGAGCTGCAGGTGACTCAGCAGATGACTCATTTTGAATCTTTGTAGATCAGGCCCTTTCTCTCAAATATAATGAAATTTTCAGATTTTTTAAAGTTTTAAAACAGCAAAAAAATACTATCCGTAAAATGATACATCAAACACAGAAATATTGTTATAATTAGCAATGTATAAGACAATAACGCACCGCTGTATGTGATTGTGCGTTCAGAAGCATCCCCCTCACCGTATCGGGTGATAGGGGTGAGACGCACCAGGTAGGATTCAGGTTTGATCAGTTCTGTCAGGTTGTAAGTCAGCAGCTGCCCCTTTTGGATGGGTCCACCAATAGGAATCTCTTGCTCCCACCAGCGAGTCTGATCCATCTGAGACAAACACAGAAGTAGATGGAAAAAAATGTCATGGCCTTGAAGAACTCTAGATGTAAAGAATTTCCCATTCAATAGTTCTTGTTGCAACAACTTACAGCTACGTACATGATTTTTATCATCATTTTAGATTATAAAGATTTTAGATAATATTTTTATCATCTAAATGTTATCATTTAGATGAGAAAAGCAAAGCATCTAAATGCTGAAAAAAACATTTGAGATGTTTTTAACATAATTTT